CCAGATCCAGTTCTTGGGATATATCGTTTCTTCAGAAGGAGTGCGCATGGATCCTGAAAAGATCAAGGCAGTGGTGGATTGGACTGCCCCTGGAAACGTTAAGGAAATACAACGATTTATTGGATTTGCAAACTTTTATAGGAAATTCATAAGAAACTTCTCTAAGGTAATAGCACCAATTACACAGCTGACAAAGAAAGGAGTGCCCTTTGCATGGTCAACTGAGGCACAAACTGCTTTTAGTAAGCTAAAGACTCTCTTCACATCTGCACCAATATTGGTACATCCTGATCCTGAGCTACCTTTTATTGTGGAAGTGGATGCCTCAGACTCCGCCGTGGGAGCTATCATTTCTCAGCGACGAGGAGAAAAAATGCAGCTTCATCCCTGTGCTTATTTTTCTCGTTTGATGTCATCTGCTGAAAGGAATTATGACATTGGGAATAAGGAGTTGCTGGCAATTAGGGAAGCCTTTTCTGAATGGAGGCATCTGTTGGAAGGGGCTAAGCATCCTGTGACTGTCTTCACAGATCATAAAAATCTAGAATTCATCCGTTCTGCCAAGAGATTGTCTTCTAGACAAGCACGTTGGTCACTGTTCTTTTCCAGGTTAAATTTTATTATCTCATATCGACCTGGGTCAAGAAACGGAAAGGCTGATGCCTTATCACGAATGTTGTCTGGGCCTCTCCAGGAGAACACTTCTGAATGCACAATCCTGCCTCAAAAGAACTTTTCTAGGGGCCACAAGTCCTAAGGCATTCTTGAATCTTCTTAAAGAGGGGTATGAGAATGACCCACTTCTCAATCATCCACCTACGGACATTAACCTGACTTATAAGAATGGCTTTTGGATTCAAGGACATCATCTTTATGTACCTGAATCTGTTCGGGTGGAAGCTCTCAAGTTGGTTCATGATTCCAAACTTGCTGGGCATTTTGGAGTCGCTAAGACCGAAGAACTATTATCGCGTTCCTTTTGGTGGCCGGGGTACAAGAAAGATGTCAAACGCTATGTTCCATCAAGACCATGGGGGTCTATTTCTATGGATTTTGTGGTGGATTTACCTCCCTCAAAAGGAATGACCACCATTTTGGTAGTGGTTGACCGTCTCACTAAAATGGCCCATTTTGTTCCAGTTAAGGGGGTGCCCACTGCTGAACAGACTGCTGAACTGATGGTTCGAGAAATCTTTAAGCTGCATGGAATCCCTGATGTGGTGTCTGACAGAGGTGTGCAGTTTACTTCGAAATTCTGGAGAAGTTTTTGCTCAGCCTTAGGTGTTACAATTAATCTGTCCTCTGCTTTTCATCCCCAGTCTAATGGTCAGACTGAGAGAACTAATCAAACAATGGAACAGTATCTTCGATGCTTTGTCACTTATCTTCAGGATGACTGGGTGGACTGTCTTCCCACTGCAGAGTTTGCATACAACAATTCTAAACATAGTTCCACCTCTCAAAGTCCTTTTTACTTAAACGCCGGTTACCATCCAGTTTTTATTCCTGATCTCCCTATCACAACTCCAATCCCTGCTGTTACCAATAGACTAACTACATTGCAGGAGATTCAAGAGAAATTGATTGAGACTTTGAGGGAAGCTCAGGAGTATTACAAAAAGTCTGCAGACAGACACCGGAGAACTCTTCCTACGTTTCATGTGGGTGAAAAAGTTTGGTTATCAACAAAGAATTTGAAGGTCCAGGTGCCATCTGCTAAGTTGGGTCAAAAGTTTGTGGGTCCTTTTCAGATTTCTGCCCAAATCAACCCAGTCACCTTTCGCTTACAGCTTCCGGATAGTATGAGGATTCACCCTGTTTTTCATATATCACTACTCAAACCGTTTCAGGAAAATCCTTTCCCTGGAAGAATTTTTCCACCTCCTCCACCTGTTGAGGTACAGGGTGAAGAAGAATTTGTGGTGGAGAAAATCCTTGATTCCAGGATCTTTAGGAATAAGTTACAGTATCTGGTTCAATGGGAAGGATATGGACCAAAAGAAAATTCTTGGGAGCCTGAGGAGAATGTTCATGCTCCTAGACTAACAAGAGAATTCCACCAGAGGTTTCCACACAAACCTAGTCCTAAGACGTCCAGAGGACGTCCTGGGAGGAGGGGAGTACTGTCAGGGCCTGGACTTGAACCTGGGACTTTTACTGTGTCAGGCAGTAACTCTACTCACTGAGCTACCTAGGATGCTGGACAACACTTTGCCTCATCTATTGGATAATCCTGCCTTGTGCCTTGTTTGCTCTTGAACCTTGAACTCCTTGCTCCTCCCATGATCTTCCAATATATTAGCCATGTCCTTGGACTTCCTCCTTGCCAGATTATTGTGCCTTTCCAGCCATTATCCTGCTACTGTTCCTGCTGCTGTCTACACCTCCGCTACTGACCTTTGGCTTGTTCCTGACCACGATTGATCTGCTACCATTTGTGACCGACCCTTGGCTTGTGACCGACTCTGCTTTCGTCTGATCCCTAACCTGTTGATCCGCTATTGGTTCCCAGTCTGCTCATTCCCTGGTGGGGTGATCCTGAGATCTGCGACCTGGTATTAACACGCAGCCCAATCCATCTCCACCATTAGGAGCTCTGGTGAATACCGGTTAATACTTAGACCCCGCACCTCAGGTGAGCCTGCGTCATTCCCAGGGGGATCCGCTGGTGTACCTATCCTGCTGGTTCCAGGTAAGCCTTTTACTGCTATAGCAACTGGTCTCTGAACCTGACCTTACACCGTGACACAAACTTTCACTTTTTAATACTTGGTTGCAAATCCTTTGCAGTCACTTACAGCCTGAAGTCTGGAACGCATAGACATCACCAGATGCTGGGTTTCATCCCTGGTGATGCTCTGTCAGGCCTCTACTGCAACTGTCTTCAGTTCCTGCTTGTTCTTGGGGCATTTTCCCTTCAGTTTTGTCTTCAGCAAGCGAAATGCATGCTCAATCGGATTCAGGTCAGGTGATTGTCTTGGCCATTGCATAAAATTCCACTTCTTTCCCTTAAACTCTTGGTTGCTTTTTGCAGTATGCTTTGGGTAATTGTCCATCTGCACTGTGAAGCGGCGTCCAATGAGTTCTGAAGCATTTGGCTGAATATGAGCAGATAGTATTGCCCGAAACACTTTAGAATTCATCCTGCTGCTTTTGTCAGCAGTCACATCATCAATAAATGCAAGAAAACCAGTTCCATTGGCAGCTATACATGCCCACGCCATGACACTACCACCACCATGCTTCACTGATGAGGTATGCTTAGGATCATGAGCAGTTCCTTTCCTTCTCCATACTCTTCTCTTCCCATCACTCTGGTACAAGTTGATCTTGGTCTCATCTGTCCATAGGATGTTGTTCCAGAACTGTGAAGGCTTTTTTTAGATGTCGTTTGGCAAACTCTAATCTGGCCTTCCTGTTTTTGAGGCTCACCAATGGTTTACATCTTGTGGTGAACCCTCTGTATTCACTCTGGTGAAGTCTTCTCTTGATTGTTGACTTTGACACACATACACCTACCTCCTTGAGAGTGTTCTTGATCTGGCCAACTGTTGTGAAGGGTGTTTTCTTCACCAGGGAAAGAATTTTTCGGTCATCCACCACAGTTTTCATTGTAATTGCTCATTGTAATTGGGATAATGAGGGAATAACACACACCTGGCTATGGAACAGCTGAGAAGCCAATTGTCCCATTACTTTTGGTCCCTTAACAAGTGGGAGGCACATATGCAAACTGATGTAATTCCTACACCGTTTACCTGGTTTGGATCTAAATACCCTCAAATTAAAGCTGACAGTCTGCAGTTAAAGCACATCTTGTTCGTTTCATTTCAAATCTATTGTGGTGGTGTATAGAGCCAAAAATGTTAGAATTGTGTCAATGTCCCAATATTTATGGACCTGACTGTATATTGGCTACATCTTTTTCTGTAAATACTTTTATTGCACCATTTTGACCTTTTTAGTAATAAATCTTATTTTCTGAAAAGTGTTGAACTGTTTCTAAAGCTCTTTAATGCAAACTAAGAATCCCTGTCTCTGAAGAGTGCTACTGTGTGTTTTAAACCTCTATATACATCTGCCTGCGGGGTCAGTGTGTATACAGATGATTATTCAAACATCATAGTGTTACTGCTAAGATTGGCGAGTTTCCTCCTTCTCCGTACAAAAAAGGGCGGTGGTGGCAGTGTGAAGGGTTAATTGCATAATTAACCTGACCCAGTAACAATAGCTCTCAGGCTGCGGTACATAGATTGTGGTCCATTAGCTGGAAAATCTTTGTGCAGGGTGCAGCTGAGCGTGGTATTGTTACGCACATGACAGCGCGTTTTTAGATTGGCTAGTCCTTCGGTCACGAGTTGGTGAGAAGGGCTGGGGGGCTGACGCCGCGACCGTCACCTTTGAGCTCTGGCTTTTTTAAGCCATTGTTTCTAATTTTAGAGACTCTTTAATAAATGGCACAGTACCATAAGATTGGCTCAAAGGGATCATAGTCTTTACCAAGTACTTACAAACCAGTTACCGTATTTTTTCTCTCCATAAAACACACCTGACCATTAGACGCACTTAGATTTTAGAGGAGGAAAACAAGAAAAAAAATATTCTGAAAAAAAATATTCTGAAATGTCTGGACTGCAGACATAGTACAGCAAATGACAAGAGACTGCAGACATAGTACATGAGATGACCAGAGACTGCAGACATAGTACATGAGATGACCAGAGACTGCAGATATAGTACATGAGATGACCAGAGACTGCAGATAGTACATGAGATGACCAGAGACTGCGGACATAGTACAGGCGATGCCTAGAGACTGTGGACATAGTACAGGCGATGACCAGAGACTGCGGACATACTACAGGCGATGACCAGAGACTGCGGACATACTACAGGCGATGACCAGAGACTGCGGACATACTACAGGGGATGACCAGAGACTGCGGACATACTACAGGAGATGACCAGAGACTGCGGACATACTACAGGGGATGACCAGAGACTGCGGACACACTACAGGAGATGACCAGAGACTGCGGACACAGTACAGGAGATGACCAGAGACTGCTGACATAGTACAGGAGTTGACCAGAGACTGCGGACATAGTACAAGTGATGCCTAGAGACTGCAGACATAGTACAAGAGATGGCCAGAGACTGAGGACATAGTGCAGAAGATGACCAGAGACTGCTGACATAGCCCGTAGACTTTACCTTACACATTAGCCATGTGTGGGGAACTGTGTCAAACACTTTTGTAAAATTCAAGTATTCCACGTCCACCGCCACCCCCTCATACTACAGGAGATGACCAGAGACTGCAGACATAGTACAGGAGTTGACAATAGACTGCGGACATAGTACAGGAGATGACCAGAGACTGCGGACATAGTACAGGAGATGACCAGAGACTGCGGACATAGTACAGGAGATGACCAGAGACTGCGGACATAGTACAGGAGATGACCAGAGACTGCGGACATAGTACAGGAGATGACCAGAGACTGCGGACATAGTACAGGAGATATATATATATATATAATAAATAAAGAACCAGTGCCACGGAAATTATATAAAACAGTAAGCTGCAAAACCTAGCCTATAAACTTATAGGATATACAAAACTTCAAAAAATAGGTTGCGCTTAAATACATACAAAAGTGTAACAAAAAATAAATAACAAAACAATAAACAATATTTTAAATCAAAGCAAAAACGAAAAAGTTCAAATAATCAATAATGTCCAAAATAATTCATCACCAAGTAAATCCACCACCAAAAATGGTTAAATAGAACTCACCAGAGTAATATGCTGATTGTTGAAAAACCAGCATATAGTACTTGTTGTTCTGGGAGAAATTAATAATATGGTGACAACATCACTGAAGAAATGAGGGATGAACTCCAACAGATGATGTGCTGCAAAGTTGAAAATCTACTCCTGGTTTGTCTGCACGTTGCATGTGCATGTTTGGCTGGGTCTGAGTCGCCTGTATTCATTACACATGCCGTCTATACTGGTGTCAGTCTGGATACCTTGTAAGTGCATTTCTTCATTAAAGTTTGATGCTTTTTAAAACATACTGCACCATGATTGTTCGCTTTTTTCTTTTGAGTGACGGTCTGATCATCTCTCAGTTTGGATACTAAATCACCTTTGGAGTGGATTTTCAACTTTGCAGCACATAATCTGTTGGAGTTCATCCCTCATTTCTTCAGTGTTGTTGTCACCATATTATTCATTTCTCCCAGAATAACAAGTACTATATGCTGGTTTTTCAACAATCAGCATATTACTCAATCTCATATCTGTCCCCCGCCTCCCCACATCCACCCCTCCCCTCTCGGTTGCACTCCTGAACGCCCGTTCGGTTTGCAACAAGCTCAGCGCCATCCATGACCTCTTTGTCTCCCACTCCCTCAACCTCCTAGCGGTTACTGAAACCTGGATCCAAGCCACTGACTCCACCTCCCCTGCTGCCCTCTCCTATGGAGGCCTTGTCTGGACCTATTCAACCAGACCGAGCGGATGCAGAGGCGGAGGGGTCGGTATGCTCCTACCACCGCTGAGCACCTTCCAGGTCCTCCCTAACCCCCCCCCTATCCTTCTCCTCCTTCGAGGCCCACTGCATCTGACTTTTCTCTGCCACCCCCCTACGGATTGCGGTAATCTATCGGCCTCCTGGTTCCGCATCCTCCTTCCTTGACGACTTTGCCATCTGGCTTCCCTTCTTCCTCTCCTCCGAGCTACCGACCATCATCCTAGGCGACTTCAATATCCCAATCAACGCCAACAGCCAGGCTACTTCCTAACTCCTCACACAGCACACTCAGTCCTCCACCCACTCCAACGGAAACACCCTGGACCTCGTTTTCTCCCACCTCTGCACCTCCCACGACTTCACTAACACCCCCTTCCCTCTCTCTGACCACCACCTCCTCACATTCTCCCTCAACCCCCCCCCCCCCCTCGAAGCGTCTAACCATCACCCGCAACCTCCGCAATCTGAACCCGACCCATCTCCACCCAGCAGCTGACCGTCTGTATGACAGCATCCTCCCCCTGTCATGCCCTGACCTGGCCACTACTGCATACAATGACTCACTGTCAGCTGCCCTTGACTCCCTGGCACCCCTAACCACACGTAGCATTAGACCCCGACCGCTTCAACCCTGGCAAAACGACCACACGAAATGCCTCAAACAACGCAGTCGTGCGCTGGAGCGCTTATGGCACAAAACCAGATCCCCCTCCCGCGTTCTCCCCTCTATAAAGCCGCCTACCTCGCCTACACCACTTCCTTCCACGCCGCCAACCAAGCCTACTTCATAACCCTTATCCGCACCCTCTGCACCTGTCCTCGTCGGCTCTTCTCCACTTTCAAATCCCTGCTCTCTCCCCCCCCCCCCCCCCCCCCCCCCCACCCAGCACCTCACTCACCGCCCACGAGATTGCCACCCAAAACAAGATTGACGCAATCCGTAAGGACATTGTCAACTCACAGTACACCTCTCCACCCAGCCTCCCGCCCTCCTTCAACCCCTCAACCCTCCCCTCCCCTGACCTCATAGTCGCACTACCCCCCACTATACCTAACACCCCCCGCACATCATCACCTCCCCACCACTCCGCTCCTTCAGCCCAACTAACCCCGAGGAGGTCTCCAAGGTCTTCACTGAAGCCCACCTCACCACCTGCCCCCTGGACCCTATCCCCTCACAGCTCCTCCAGTCACCCCCTCCCTCCATCATTCGCTCCCTCACCCACATCTTCAATCTCTCCCTCTCCACCGGCACCTTCCCCTCCCCTCTAAAGCACACACACATCACCCCTATACTCAAAAAACCCTCCTTTGACCCCACTAACCTTAACAAACTTAGACCCATCTCCTTGTTGCCCTTCACTTCCAAGCTCCTTGAGCGCCTGGTCTACAATCGCCTAAGCGCCCACCTCACTGATAACAACCTCCTTGACCCCCTACAGTCTGGCTTCCGCCCCCTGCACTCCACCGAAACCGCCCTACTTAAAATCACCAATGACCTGCTAACTGACAAAGCCAATGGCCGCTATTCTATCCTCCTGCTCCTCGACCTCTCTGCGGTCTTCGACACTGTTGACCACCCTCTCCTCCTTGCCAAACTGCACTCCCTTGGCATCAAGGACGCTGCTTTCTCCTGGTTTGCCTCCTACCTTTCCCAATGCTCTTTCAGTGTCTCCTACAACACTGCCACCTCCCCCTCCCTCCCCCCTCTGTCAGGGTCCCCCAAGGCTCTGTCCTTGGGCCCCGTCTCTTCTCCATCTATACTTCCTCCCTTGGCAAACTTATTCACTCCCACGGCTTCAATTACCACCTCTATGCCGACGACACCCAAATTTACCTCTCCACCCCCCACCTCACCCCCTCACTCTCTGCCCGCATCGCCCAGCTCCTAAACGACATATCAGACTGGATGTCGCTCCATTTCCTCAAACTTAACCTATCCAAAACCGAGCTCCTGGTCTTCCCCCCACCCCGTGCCCCCCCCATCCTCTCCATCACTACTAACAACGCCACCATCTCTCCTACCCCACACGCCAAAGTCCTGGGTGTCACCCTGGACTCCCACCTCTCCTTCCTACCCCACATCCAACTGCTATCTAGATCTTGCAGGCTCCACCTCCGCAACATCTCCAAGATATGCACATTCCTCACCCCAAATACCACCAAACAACTCGTACACTCCCTCATCATCTCACGCCTGGACTATTGCAACTCCCTACCCAAAAGAACGCTATCCCCACTCCAGTCAATCCTAAACTCAGCGGCCAGACTCATCCACCTCACCAAGTGCTCCACATCTGCCTCCCCCCTCTGCCAATCCCTTCATTGGCTCCCAATTGCCCAACGCATCAAGTTCAAGCTGCTAACCATGACCTACAAGGCCATTCACAATGCCGCTCCGAACTACATAACCGACCTGATACCCAGATACCACCCTACCCGTGCCCTCCGCTCCTCACAGGACCTCCTGCTCTCTAGCTCCCTAGTCTCCTCCTCCCACGCCCGATTGCAGGACTTCTCCAGGACCTCCCCCATCCTCTGGAACTCCCTACCCCAATCCATCAGACTGTCACCTACCCTCCTCACCTTCAGGCGCACCCTGAAAACCCTCATCTTCAGGGAAGCCTACCCCAACCTCACCTAACACCCGACCTCACCTAACAACTAACCTCCTCCACTCCACCCAGCACTCCATCCCCCACAGCGATCTCCTCCTGTGCCACCTTCCCCTCCCTCCTAGATTGTAAGCTCGAAAGAGCAGGGCCCTCGAACCCCTCGTGTAGTGTATTGTTACTGTCTTGTCTCAGGTTATGTCCCCCTTGCTACTGTACAGTGCTGAGCATACCCTTTGGTGCTATAAAAATACTGTATAATAATACTCTGGTGAGTTCTATTTAACCATTTTTGGTGGTGGATTTACTTGGTGATGAATTATTTTGGACATTATTGGTTATTTGAACTTTTGGACTTTTTCGTTTTTGCTGGATTTTATTTTGATTTAAAATATTGTTTCTTATTGTTTTGTTATTTATTTTTGTGTTACACTTTTGTATGTATTAAAGCACAACCTATTTTTTGAAGTTTTGTATATCCTATAAGTTTATAGGCTAGGTTTTGCAGCTTACTGTTTTGTATAATTTCCGTGGCGCTGGTTCTTTATTTATATATATATATATATATATATATATATATATATATATATATATACTCTGAATTGGCAACATAGCACAACATTTGTGTCACATTTGAGACATCTGGCTAGTTACACTGACCTTGCCCAGGGACTTAGGGTTGATTCACACCACAGAAATACAAGCAGGCTGTGGATTAGTAGTTAGCACTGCTGACTCACAATGCTAGGGTTGTCGGATTGAATCCCAACCATGGCAATGAATTTACATGATCTCTGTGTGACTACCCTAATATACATGTGCTGGTGGCAGCATCTTTGCTTTCTGACTAAATGATCCTTAGAATGTGAATTAAAATGAGGCCTTGTTGCACCTTATGTGAATGTCAAAAGATGGGATGAGATAAGGGCCTAGACTAATGATTGATTTGATAATGCTGGTTTGCACTCCACCCCATCAAACCAAGAGAAGAGTGAGAGAGAGAAAAGGATTTAAAAAAAAATTTAATAAAATAATGGCATGGAATTCTCCCCCCCCCAATCCCTAACAGACCCTTATCCGAGCATGCAGATACCGCATACCTTCAAAGATTTATTTCCTTTGTTGAATTGCCTGCTTGGTTCATACTAGATGCGTTTTAAAATTGTGCTTTTTGTTGGCAATTTCACCGTGTTTTCTGTAGATTTACCATTGAGTTATTGCGTTTTCAATTGTGTTTTGCATTGCGATTTCTATTGTAGTCTATATGTGAAATCTCTACAAAATGCTGAAAAAGTTAGACAAGAACTACTTTTGAAATTGTGCTGCAGCAAATCACTTACGTTAAGACACTCAAATCCACATTCATTAGATT